TTTGACTTGTCTTTTTCTAGTTTTGATATTAGAGTAATATTGACCTCATAGAATGAGTTTGGAAGTATTCCCTCTCCTCAGTTTTTCAGAATAGTTCGTGTAGGATCGGTATTAGTTCTTCTTGAAATCTTTGGTAAAATTCAGCAGTGAACCCAACAGTTCCTGAACTTTTTTGTTGCTGGAAGAGTTTTTATTATAGCTTCAATCTTATTACTTGTTACTGATCTGTTCTGGTTTTGAATTTCTTCATGGTTCAGTCTTGGAAAGCTGTATGTGTCTGGGAATATACCATTTCAAGGTTTTCCAATTTATTGGTATATATTTGCTCATGTAACCTTTAATGATATTTTGTATTTCTTTGATATTGGCTGTGATATCTCCTTCTTTATCTCTGATTTTATTTATCTGGGTCTTCTCTCTTTTTTCTTGGCTAATTTAGCTAGAAGTTTGTCAGTTTTGTTTACCCTTTTAAAAACAGCTTCTTTATTGATCCTTTGTAGTGTTTTCTTCCTTTCAATTTCATTTATTTCTTCTCTGATCTTTACTATTCCATTTCTTCTACTAATTTTGCATTTGGTTTGCTCTTGCTCCTCTAGTTTTTTAAGATGCACCATTAGGTTTTTTATTTGATGTTTTTCTAATTTTTTGATGTAGGTGCTTACTGCTATAAAATTTCCTCTTAGTACTGATTTTGCTGTATTCCATAGGTTTTGGTATGCAGTGTTTTCATTTTCATTTGTTCCAAGAAATTTTTTAGTTTCCTTCTTTCTTTCTTCATTGACCCACTGGTCATTCAGGAGCATATTGTTTAATTCTATTTGTTTGTCCAATTTCCAATATTCCTCTGTTATTGATTTTTAGTTCTATTCCACTGTGGTTCAAAGAAGATATTGGATATGATTTCAATTTTTTGAATTTTTTCAGATTTATTTTGTGGCCTAACTGTGATCTATCTTTGAGAATGACCCATATGCTGAGAGGAATGTGTATTCTGAAGCCATTGGATAAAATATTCTGTAAATATCTATTAGGTCCATTTGTTCTATGGTGCAGATTAAGTCCAATGTTTCTTTGTTGATTTTATGTCTTGATGATCTGCCTAAAGCTGAATATGGGGTGTTAATGGCTTCCAGCTATTACTGTATTGGGGTCTATCTCTCTCTTTGGCTTTAATAATATTTACTTTATATCTCTGAGTACTCCAGTGTTGGATGCATATATATTTAAAATTATTATATCTTCTTGCTGAACTGACCCCTTTATCATTAAATAATAACTTTATTTGCCTCTTTTTACAGTTTTTGTATTAAAATCTATTTTGTCTGATATAAGTATAACTACTTCTACTCTTCTTTGCTTTCCATTACATCTTTTTACATCCCTTTATTTTAGTCTATGTGTACCTTTACAGGTGAAGTATGTTTCTTATAGGCAACAGATCATTGGGTCTTGTTTTTTATCCATGTAGCCATTCTGTGTCTTTTGATTGGAAAGTTTAGTTCATTTATATTAATATTATTAATGATAAATAAGGACTTATTTCTGCCATTTTCTTATTTTTTTCTGGCTGTTATATGGTCTTCTCTTCTTTCTTCCTTTTTGTCTTCCTTCTAGTGATGGTGATTTTCTCTGGCGGTATGTTTTAATTTCCTGTTTTTTATTTTCATTTTTTTCACATCTGTCATATATTTTTTAACTTGTAGTTACTGTGACGCTTGCAAATAATATCTTATAACCCATTATTTTAAACTGATAACAACTTAACACTGATTTTATAAAATAGCAAACAGAAAACTTAATGAAGACTCAACACTTAAACTTCTTCCCCCCTCTTTTTAACTTTGTGTTGTTTATATTTATATCTTATTGTACTCTCTATGTATGTAAACATTGTTTTAGTTATTATTTTTGGTCATTTCCTCATTTAATCTTTCCACTGAAGAAATGAATAATTGGCATACCTCAATGAGAGTATTATAATATTCTGTGCTTTTCTGTGTACTTACTATTACCAATGAGTTTTGCACCTTTAGATAGTTTCTTATTTCACACTGAGGAATTCGTTTAGCATTTCTTGTAGAACAGGCCTGGTGTTGATAAAATTCCTCTGTTTTTTGTTTTTCTGGGAAAGTCTTTGTTAAGCCTTCATATTTGAAGGACATTTTTACTGCATTTACTATTATAGGGTACATCTTTTTTTCCTTCAGAACTTTAAATATACCATGCCAGAGACGTATTTAAAGTTTCTCAGTGTAAACTTCACCTGTGTCCTGGTCTGTAAAGTTTCCACTGAGAAGTCTGCTGCCAGATGTATTGGAGCTCCATTGTATGTGATTGGTTCCTTTTATCTTGCTGCTTTTAGGATTCTTTATTTATTCTGGACTTTGGGAGTTCAATTATTAAATGCCTCAAGGTAGTTTTCTTTGGGTTAAATCTGCTTTGTGGTCTATAATGTTCTTGTACTTGGATATTAATATCTTTCTGTAGGTTTGGAATGTTCTCTATTATTAATACTTTGAATAAACTTTCTACCCAAATCTCTCTCCTCACTTCTCTTTTTAGGCCAGTAACTCTTAGATTTGCCTTTTTGAGACTATTTTCTAGCTCTTGCAGGCATGCTGTATTCTTCTTTTTTATTCTTTCCAGTTTTGTCTCTTTTTACTGTATTTTCAATAATTTTTAAGCTCACTGATTCTTCTGATTGGTGAATTCTGCTGTTAAGAGACTCTGATGCATTTTTCAGTATGTCAATTGAATTTTTCAGGTCTAGAACTTCCCCTTGATTATTTTTAATTATTTCAATCTCTTCGTTAAATTTATCTGATAGGATTAGAATTCCCCCGCTCTGTGTTATGTTGGATTTCATTGAGTTTCTACAAAATAGTTATTTTGAATTCTCTGTTTGAAAGGTTATATATCTTTGTCTCTTTAGGATTGGTCGCTGGTGCCTTATTTAGTTTGTTTGGTGAAGTCATGTTTTCTTGGATGTTCTTGACACTTGTGGATGTTCGTTGGTGTCTGGGCATTGAAGAGTTAGGTACCCATTTTATTTGTCACAGTGTGGGCTTGTTTGTACCTTTTCTTCTTGGGAAGGCTTTCCAGGCATTTAAAGGTACTTGGGCGTTGTGATTTGGGTATGCTTACTGCAGTCATACCAGCTTCACAGGACACCCCAAGCCCAGTAATGGCATGGATCTTAAAAACTCAAAGAGGTACCACCTGTGTGGTCTTGGGTAAGAGCCAGAATTCCCTGGATGACCATAGACTGTTGTTCTTTCCTTACTTTCTCTCAAACAAATGTAGTCTCTGTGCTGAGCTGCCTGGAGCTGGAAGATGGTGACATGAGCACTCCTTTGGCCATTACCACTGGAACTGTGCTTGCTCAGACTAAATGCCAGCACAGCACTGGGTCTCACTCAAGGCCCACAGTGTCCAGTCCCTGCCTATTTTCTATGTTCATTCAAAGTTCTAGAGCTCTACAATCAGTAGGTGAAAATCCAGGCAGGCTTGGGTCCTTCCTTTCAAAGCAGCATGGTCCCCCAGCCCTGAGAAGGTTTAGAGATGCTGTCCAGGAGACAGGGCCTGGATTTAGTAACTTTTGGGATCTACCTGGTGCTCTATTCTATTATAATTGAGTTGGTACCCAAGCTCAAGACAAAGTCTTTCCCACTCTTCCCTCCCCTTTCCACTTTAAATGTCATGCCACTAACATATTTTAAGATTTAAGCATAGGAGTTTCTCCTTGTGGCCACCACAATCCCAGGCCGTAGCAAGTACTGCTTGGCTACTGCCAATATTCACTCAAGGCCCAAGGCTCTTCAGTCGGCTTGTGGTGAATGCTGCCAGGCATGGGTCTCTCTCTTCAGGGCAATGGAACCTCCTGGCCCAAGATAGGGCCAAAAAAGTCATCCAGGGGCCAAGGTCTTGAATTGGGAACTGGAGGAGCCTGCTTGGTCTTCTGCTCCATTGCAACTGAGCTGGTAACCAAGCTGCAAGACATTGTCCCCATTGTTCTTCCTTGTCTTTTCGCAAGCAGAACGGGTCTCTTCACATTGTTACCATAGTTGAGAATTCAACTGGGGTCACACCTGAAACAGCACAGCTCTGAGTCACACTTAAGTCCCACTGCAAGTACTGCCTGGACCACTACTGATTATTCAGAGTCTGAGGTCTCTTTACGCAGGTAATGGATACTTCCAGAACTGTGTCCTTCCTTTCAAGGCAATTGGTTCCCTTCTGACACAAAATGTGTTTAGAAATGTCATCCAGGAGCTCGGGCCTGGAATGGGGGCCTCAGGACTCTGCCTGGTGCCCTCTCTTGCTGTGACTGAGCAGTATTCAAGTTGCAAGACAAAGCCCACTTTATTCTTCCCTCTCCTCTCCTCAAGACAAGGGAAGGAGTCTCTCCTGAAGCTATGAGCTTCGCTGCAGCCTAGGACTGGGGGAGAGCTGTCACAAGTACTTCCTTGGTTGCATCAGCCGGTATCTCACTATGTCACATGCCTTCCAAGTCCACTGACTCTGGGCCCAGCACAGCACCAGGACGTGCCCAGGAATTGCAGTTCATATGATCTAGATTGTCTTTCAAGTTTGCCTTTCAAGTCCTTATGGTCTAGATTGTCTTCCAAGATTGCCTTTTATTTAGAACCTCACTACTCTTTAGCCCACAGTGGCAGGGATTGCCAGAACTCATGTACCAACTACTAGGTGGACGATTTGACTCTGACTAGAGTTGGCCTAAATGCTCCCTCTGTAGGTGCTGACTGAATTCTGTCCTGTATTGCTTCCCACTATAACAGGGCATCACTGAGTTCCAATGCACAGTTCTACAATCTATGTGCTCTTCTTTCCCAAATCACACAGATTCTGTCTCCACGCCACATGTCCGCATCCAGGGAATGGGGAGGGGTAGCATCAGCAATTCAAGGCTGTCTTTTCTACCTTCTTCAGTGTATGTTTTTCTTGATATCATGTTAAAATCAGTTATTATGATCACTCACCTGATTTTTGGTTCTCATGAATGTGATTTTTTGTGTGGATAGATTTTCCAGTATGGTGTTTCTGTCAGGGGTCAACTGCTGGGGGCGTCTATTCAGCCATCTTGCTCTGCCTTTGCTGTTATTGCTTCTTATAAATCAACTGCTGCTCCTAATTTTATAAAACACATTTCAGTAACTTCCAATTTTTACCAACAGCATATTTCATTTTTTAAAATATCTTTCTTAAAGTTTTAGGACTTAGAAGAATCCCATAGATCCTCTGGACCAACTTTAATGATAAGAAAATGGCCACTCAGAAAAGTTTTGTCTTTTACTAGTGGCAGACCTAGGGCAAAAAGCTAATCTCCAGACTATTTTAGTAAGGGCTCTTCCCACTACACTTCTGAAACCGCTAGCTAGAATCAGAAAAAGCATGCTCACTCACATTTGTGCATGCACCACCTTCCTTCCTGCTAAATATAGGTATAAATATATTTGCCTTAAATACTTTAACCTTTTTGATTGTCCTCACTTTTCTTTCTCAGTTGCTGCACAGACAGTGGTCTCAATACTTGGCTGGAAGGAAGATCCCACCATCCTATCCTTAAAGGATCATTTTGGTTAAGAAAAGTTTTCTTTGAACACATGAGTAATAATATATTATTTCATCCAACACAACTACAAAAGAAGCAGATTGATGATTTTGCAAAGCCTTAATGACCTTAATTTATTATCCCTCCTTGTATTTAGATTATTTGCCATATGACGTTCCAGTTCCTCCCCAGCTATGTGGATTAACCAGTGGAATGTTAACAGGTGTGATGAGACCAAGGCTTGAAAAGCACCTGTATGTTTGGGTGTGCTCTTTTGTGACTTTGTCATGCTATGAAAGCTCATGCCCTGGTTAGCCTATTGGTCCTAAGATGAGGATGAGAGACACATGGAACTGGGGGAACCCACTCCAGGCGAAACAAGCCTAGCACAAAACCTCTCAGGTGACCCACAGATCCATGAGAACAAATGATAGTTGTTTCAAACCACCAAGTTTTGAGGCAGTTTATTACACAGAATTTTGTGATACTAGGTTACTGATATTCCAGAGTATACAGGGTATAATAAATATATCTGACACATGCTGGACAAATACCTGCAGACTGTATAAGACATAGTGTTAGATTCTCTTTATTATGGATTCATTTTTGAACAATCTATATTCCAATAAGAGGCTGAGTATATAATATTAGAGTAGTGATTTAGAGCACGATTGAAGTTAGATTGTGTGTCTTTGCTCCCTTCTATCTGATGACTCTGGGCAAATTACTTAATTTTTCTGTCCTCAGTTTTCTCATCTATAATTGGAGACAATGTTAGTATCCATTTAGCAGCATATCTGTCATGTAGTAAGTCCTCAAATAATATTGGTAATTAATAATAATGTACTGTCTCGTCATATAATCTTGGAGTGTTGGTTAATAAGTTTTTAATTTATTATGCAATCAATTCTCTTTTCAGCTTGATTCTGAATTCATAATAGTTTTTTCTTGGCTTCTGTTTCTAACATACATCACCTTTAGATATGTGCTTATACTTAGTAAGTTTTTATTACAAGAAACCTCTCAACGACTTACATTAATACTACAAGTAACTCTTTTATTATGGTTCTGTGCTTCTTTTATGTTAGGACTCTTAGTTAACAATTGCATGAAACTCACATATCGTTTCTTCAAATAGTTCATGACAACTTAGACTTATTGATAAGTCGTATTTGGTATTTTACTCATGATACCCCGTGTCTTCTTTTCTGGTTTCCTCTTACATTTTGCTAAAGAACATCCTAGAGCAATTTTAATTTTTTCAAAGATGTTCAACTTTCCATCTTTAAAATTGTCTTTATTTTTCCTTTTCTCTTGAATAACAGCTTGCCTAATGAAGAATCCAAGATTCAAATCCCTCAGGATTTTATAGATACAGCTACATATTTTCTGGAATTTGGTGTTAGAAAACACTAATGTCATTCTGATTTTTCTTCCTTTTCAGGTCATGTATTTTCACTCTCTAGAAAATTATAAGACTTTTTCTTTCTCCTTCGACTTCATAAATTCTTCCACAATATTCGTAGGCCCCTTGGTGCAATATTGCTGCTCTGTATTCTAATTATTTTAAATAAAAAAAAACTCAGTGCCTTCTCTCAGTTTGGAAAAAAAGATATTCTTCTATTACTACTTGGATTATGTCATCCCTCCTACTCTCTCTAGCTTCTCCTTATACAAGTTTTATTAGGAAGATTTTAGAATTTCTAAACATTTTACGTACTTTGTAAATATCTAAACCTCATATACTGAATGACATCATTCCTTCCAAGTTTCTTGGACAATTTTCGTCAACAGATGAAATCATCGACAGATTATTACACTACATTCCAAGAAAACCTCTTGGCTTGATCTTCCGTAACACTGATTTGGTGTTCAACCACCACCATTCTAATATTCAGGATTTTTTTATTGTCCTGAAGTTTTGTTTTCTTGTAGTTTCTTATTTGGCTTTGGTAACAGCATAATGCTGGCCTTGTAAAATGAGTTTGGAAGTGTTTTCTCCTCTTTCATTTCCTGGAAAAGTTTGAGAAGGATTGGCATTAATTCTTTCAGTGTTTAGTAGAATTCGTGAATGAAGCCATCAGATCCTGGGTTTTTCTTTGTTGAGAGGTTTTTTATTACAGTTTCAATCTCTTTACTCATTATTGGTCTGTTCAGATTTTCTTTTTTTTTTATGATTCAGTTTTGGCAGATTGTATGTTTCTAGAAATTGATCCATTTCTTTTAGATACCCAGTTTGATGGCCTATAATTGCTCATAGTAGTCTCTAATGATACTTTGTATTTTTATGCTATCAGTTTTAAGGTCTTCTCTTTCATTTGTAATTAAACTTGAGTCTTATCTTTTTTCCTTTAGTCTGGCTAACAGGTTGTAGATTTTGTTTATCTTTTCAAAAATCCAGCTCTTGGTTTCATTGAGCTTTTGTTTTTCTAGCCTCTATTTCTGCTCTGATCTTTATTGTTGATATTTAGTCAATTAGTATAAAATATCTCAGCAGTTAAGGAGTATGAATTTAGCCACACCTTTTGTATTTTTCAATTGCTGTCTAGCTGACACATAACTAAGCTGGCATCTCCTTCTTGAGGTAGTCCTTTCTCTCCCTAATTTCACAAGAATTCAAAGAATTTGCTCCAGTCTTTGTCTACTAAGCCACTGGACTTTTCTTAAACTTGATCGGTGAGAGAGGTGCTAACAACATTGGACCTTAAAAGGGAAAACATTGACCTTCATGGAAAACTCTTTCCCCATCTCATAACATTATCCCATGCAAATATTCCCATCTCCTCACCAGTAACCAACTCAGCATTTCAAAATCAGATTAAAGGCAGCTTTCGTTAGCCAACGTCGTCCTTATTATCTTCTTTCACCTGGACAGTGGGTTAAGGTACCCATTCAAGTAGCCCTTTTCTGAACAAAAATCAGTCCAACGTGACTAGTCTTGTCCATCTAGATGAAAAACACTTTTGGAAATTAAGAACTTTACATTCCACATCAATTGCTCTGTTATATTCGCTTCAGTAAATATATGTTTATTTTAATTTCTATGAAATTTCCTTTTTTTTCACTTTTTCTTAGTGGCCTATTCTAACTACGTGAATGCAGTGTCCTTCAAATATCTCTTAAGATACAAATTAAATTGTTTCAGTAAGTTTTTCTATATTTCACCAGTAATTCAATTGTTTCAAGAGTTAACTTCAGTTTGTTTACTTTGGTGGCTCATTTTTATGCTTTTTTTCTTCAATATATGGAAATTCTTAGTTGTTCATTTATATTTATAAGTAGTTCATTTATATTTACAGGTGGCTAGTGTGAAAGTTACAGCTTCTTTGATAATGAATATGATTACAAATTATAGAAGCCATCACTATAGTTAGTGAGCTAGGTGGTATCTTAGTCCATTCAGGCTGCTGTAACAAATTACCATAGATGCAAGGCTTAAACAACAGACATTTATTTCTCACAGTTCTGTAGGCTAGGAAGTTCATGATCAAGGTGCTGGCAGGTCCAGTGTCTGGTGAGGGCCTGCTTCCTGGTTCGCAGAAGGCCATCTTCTTGAGGTGTCTTCACATGGCAGAGAGCAAAGATAGAGGAAGCAAGTTTTCTCATGTCTCTTCCTATGAGGCACTAATCCTGTCATTAGGGTTCCACCTTCATAACCTAATTACCTCCAGAGGCCCCATCTCATAATATTATCCCATTGAGATTTAGAGCTTCAACCTACGAATTCTGAGGGACACAAAAATGCAGTCATGTAGTGGATGGGAGTTTTCCATTAGAAGGTGAGAAAGTCTAGCCCTGTTGGCAGCTGACATTACCCAAGAGCATCATTCCACTTCTCTTTATAACCCCAGTAGTCACTTTAAATATCCCTTGCCTATCCCCAGTGTCAGAATCCATCTGCTCCTTTATTACCTTTCAAACTGTTCATGCCAGTTCTGTTGGATCTGGGTGGAAATCCCTTTTCCAGGTGCTTGAAACACCCCAGGTTCATTAGCCTTCCCATCAAATGCCACAAAGTTGAGTATCTTCCTTACCTCCTCATAATTATGATCCCTAGGCTTTTCCAAAAAACTCCAAACTTTTCAAACTTCTGTTTAAAATTGAACAAACTCCTTTCTTCTTCCATCGCTACTCTCTTTCATTTGTATTAACTGTACTTACCAGTTCTATTTGGTTATTTCATCAGACTAATCCCATCTGCTTTATATCATCCAGAAATGTTTTGCTTCTGCTGGTATCGCTCTTCCACATTTCCTAGTGCTGCTTTAGTGTTATGCTTATTTTTCACCCTGGTGGAACTTTAAGAACAGAAAAGTAAACATATGTGCTTAGTCATCAAGAGGGCACTTAGCTCCCAAGTGGCCTTTTCGCTTTGTTGTTTTTCTTTTTTCCTTCCCTATTTATTTGTATTACTTCCACTGATTTAGTTTCTTTCATTTTGTTTTTATTCAAATACATTTATAAAAGCAGTACTGGCATAGGAATTAACCATTCCTTTATTCTAATCATGTTTCTGTGATTCCTGCCTGACACACAGCAGGTACTCATTAAGTATTTTTGAGCAAATGAATAAATGAAGCAAATTATCACACACTCCCCACCCCAGACTTCAGCTTTTCCAATGTGAAATTAAGAGGCCTCTGCAAGTAATAGCAAGCTATGGTTCTTCTTGGGCTTGATAAAAAACATTTATCGTCACTGAATATCAAGCACCAAGAGGAGAGAGGCAGCCAGTGTATGAGCAACACCAACCTAAGACAGAAAACTGTGATCAAAAGCCTAAAAAGAGACCTATGACATCAGAGTCTCAGAGGAGTTCAAAGCAATCATAATTAGGCTTAATAACTGACTCTCTGGTGGCTACATAACTATGATCAGGCCAGAGGGCAAGTGAGCACTGACTGAGTAAACTGAGAGAGCGAGGTAATAACACAGTCTGCCTTTAAAGGACCTGTGTAAGGATCTTCTCCCTTTTCCCAAATTCCCTTCATAAAAACCAATGTAGAAAAAAATCTGTAGGGCCCTAGGGCCTGGAAACCCAGCACTGAGAAATTATTTTAACCTCCTGGATGGGAGATCTATGAGCTGTAAGTCTGGACTTAAACACCGTCTGCAAGGTTGACAATGATGATAAGGTTCCCAAGTCAAATGATAAGTCTGACGCAAACACTCAGGTACTCCATACCACATGTGCTCATCAGAAACTATTCATTAGCAATGAAGTTGGTGGACAAAACTAAAAGTCACAATTATAACAATGTTTTCAGGAAGTCTTTTACATTTTGAATCACCTTATTACCATACTATTTCTGAGAAATCTAAGTAAGGAAAAAGAAGAAATTACAAATTTTATATCTGCTTAATATAGTGATCTTCAAACACAGTCACCTGGAGGGCTTGTTAAAACACAGACTGCGGGTCCCCACCCTCAGTTTCTGATTCAATAGGTTTAGGATGAGATCCAAAAATTTGCATTTCTAACAGATTCCCAAGCGATGGAGGTACTGCTTATCCTGGGACTATACTCAATAATTTCAAAATATCTGCTACATCTGAGTCTGCTTTTGGTGCTTACCTTGATTTTTCACACTGCGTTTTTCTCTTGCCTTTTGACATGTGTTATAATTTTTTGTTGAAAACGACATGATTTATTGAATAATAGGAACTGAAGTAAATAGGCCTTTAGTGTGAGGTTATATGTTTATCTGCCTAGCAGTTAGGCTGAATTTAATGTGTGGTACAGCTACAGGTGTCAGAGGCTTCAATCACCACCGGTCACCTTGTTTTTGTCTCCCATGTTGTCTTTGGGTTTCCCTAGAAATTCATTCTTGGATACAGTTTTTGTCTTTCAGTGCTCCAAGTTGTAACTCACTGTTATTATGTAGGAGCCCTATTGGTGTAGTGTGATGGTACTGGGAAGCATTCTATAATATTAGGATTAAATTGCCATTTCTTATGGGCCTGAGTCCTCAGACTGCGACCTTCAGAAGTCTTTCTTAGACTTTTTTTCTCCCTTACTTGAGGCAGAAAGGGTACAGATGATTCAGTTGTCAAATTGCACTTCCTCTACATAAGATAAGGCTCTGGTAAGCTAGTTTTCCTGCAGGGCAGGACTTTGATATGAAGAACACACTGGGCTTATTTCAAAATGGTTACTGTTGCCCTGCCAAAACCACAAGGGGATTTTTCTCCAATCTTCACTAAAAGAATCTGGTAGGAATCTGCTACTAAATGAATGTGAGTGTACCCCCAAAATTCATGCGCTAAAATCTAACCCCTAAATTGATTCTATTAAGAATTGGGGCTTTTGCAGGTGATTAGGTCAGGAGACTGAATACATTATAAAAGAGATTTGAGGAAGCATGTTTGCCCCTCCTGCCATGTGAGGACACTGCAAGAGAGACTATCCATGAGAAATGGGGCCTTCACGAAATGCCAAATCTGCTGGAGACTTAATCTTGGATATCCCAGCCTCCAGAATTGTAAGCAATAAATATATATTGTTTATAAATTACCCAGTCTGGTATTTTTGTCATAGCAGCCTGAACAGACTAAGACAGGATCCCACAAATAAATCTCACAAAAGCGTGACAGGTCCCGGTCCTCCTGAGACTGGGCTCCAGGAGTTTTTAACTCTCAAGCTTGTCCACACTCAGCTTCAGCAATTTTTCAGTTACCTTTAAGAAACACTCAAATGCTTCTACCCATTACTAGCTCCAGTTTTTTGTGTTTCTGGTAAGCTGTGATTCTCGTATTTGCCTGTCCCTTCAGCTTCCTAAACAGCAATTTACCCTGTCACCTCAATTCCCTGATAGACTAAGAAGAGTTATTGAGCTACGTTTTCTCTTGTGGTGAGGACAGGTGAGACATCTCTAAGTTATTTACATGTGTAAGAAGAAACCAGAAGTCAGGACTGTTTGGGGATTATACTTTAAGAACCACTGGTGTAGTGAGAAAATAGCCACCTTCAGTCAATCTCAAAATACATGAAAGCTTTAGGCTCCACTGCATAGCCTTCAATACCCACCTTAATTTAATAATTATTTGTAGCATTATTTTCTTCCAGCCAATGTCCTTCATGTCAAAATTAATACATGTGTCAAAAAAGGGAGAAGACCCAACACCCTTGATTGAGAGGTCTCACGTTGTACATGTCTGAGCCTGCCTCACCCTGAGTCACATCCTCACCCTAAGCCACATCCTCGAGTGAACCTGTTGGAATGCTTTTAGCTGCAAGTATCAAAATACCTGACTCAAACGGTAGGAACAATAAGAAGTGTTCTAACAGTAAGTATTGACGACATAAGAGAGACTCTGAGGCATAATGGACTGCCGGGCAGTGGACCTAAAAGCTCAACTATGTCATCAAAGCCACAGGTTCTTTCTACTTTTCATCCTGCTATTCACACTCTTTATTTGATTCTAAACTTGGTTCCCTTTATGTTTCCAGTAAGTTCTCAGTGGCAAAAAGAGGCTAAATGTTTTCCTGTTCATGTCCACTGGGAGAGAAAAAACGAGTTTTCTCCAGCAATCAAAGAACTGCTCTTTCTTTTATACTGTTTGGGACAACTTAGGTCATATGCTTACCTCTAAACCAATACAGATGCTCCTGAACTTATGATGATGTTATATCCAGATAAAACAACTAAACGTTGAAAATATTGTAAGTCAAAAATGCATTTAATACAGTTGACCTACTGAACATTATAGCTTAGCCTAACCTACCTTAAACATGCTCAGAACACTTACATTAGCCTATAGTTGGGCAAAATAATGTAATACAAAGCCTATTTTCTAATAAAATATTAAATATGCAATTTTTTGAATACTGTATTAAAAATGAAAAAAATGTTGTATAAGTTTCATCATTAATGTACACAGCTAAAAGCACCATCGTAAAGTGGAAAAATTGTAAGTTGAAGCATTTTAAGTTGGGAATCATCTATAACTGCTGCCACATGAAGCTATGAGCCGATTGGCTTAGGCTTAGCTTCCTGAACCACCATATTCAAGAAGTATGAGACATATACTGTGTTTTAACTAATCAAGAACTAACGAGGAGCTCAGTCAGTTCTGTAAACTACAAATGGGAAAATAAAAATCCTTACAGCATAGAATTTTTGACATAATTTTGACATGTGCTCACATGAGTCTAAATTTGAGAGTACACACCATTAGTGGCTACGAATAATTCCAGCGACACATTTTTAAAACGTCTGGTCTTAAATATAAAAAGTGCCTTGGACACAATACCTGTCATGCCCACCGAAGATATTCCTCTAAGGACATTCTCACGAGACGTGAAATCTCTTCTCCTTCCCTCAAAAATCTTCAGTTGGCTTCACAACTATTTAACAGGAGAAACAAAATAAACTTTAGCATTCCTTTCTTCTTGGACTCCTTTAGAAAGTTGTAGAGCATTATTTTCCTTTTGTATTTCAGCAATTCTGTTTGTGGGCAGCTTTTTGGTTTTTTTTTTTTCTCTAAGCTGATCATTATGGATAAACATAAAATCTCTAAATAGATTTTCCTAGTCAGTTAACCATATTCTTGGGGGAAAACATAAGGTAGAATCATTATTAAAAAGCATTCTCAGTAATACACACATCTTTATTATGTCAGTCTTTTGCCAAAAAAAAATAAGATTGATAGTAAATTCCATTTAATTTTTTTTCTTCACAAAATCAAGCCATCTGCCTCAAAACACACCACCAGCCTCTGTTAGATGAATTCACATATTTAAAAGCCCCGAAGTAACCATTTGAATGGAAATTGGACACTTCTTGTCATTTAGGAAGCTTTTTTAAACTGGAAAGGCTTCTCGTTTGTTCAATTAAATGTGTGTGTATGCAATACACTTTATGAAATTTATCCCAAAACAGTGAGGGCTGAAATAATATTTGAAACAGATGGCACAGCTGCTGTACTTAGAGAGCTACCCATGGACATAGATGGGGACATTGAGGGAACTGTGGAGTGCAAGCCAAAATATTGTACAATCAAGACTCTTAGTCACAGCCATTAAAGATGGGAAAATCTTTTTAATGTCAACCTCTTCCATAATGGAGGTGTGTGGAAAGGGCTACGATGTAAGTCAAGTGGAATTTATATCCTTTTCTGGATGAACACTTTTCTTCTCAGTTGAGCCTTAAAATTTGAAAATACTGGATCTGCTGCCTTGGAGTTTCTCTCTCTTGAATACTATTTGAAAACGATGCTGAAAGTATCATTCCCAAGGGAATGTTAGACAGTGGCATATGCACAGCAGAGAAAAGCAAATTATAGTGTTTAAAGCTAGAGGGAGGGAACTGATGGAAACCACAGACATCGTTTCTCTAGTGCCCTAATTTTATAGGTGAGGAAACAAAGGCCAAGGAGGGTTAAATGACTTCTCCTCCACCCCACAGTACTGGTCTCTGGAGACTCACTCCCAGGCAACTTCCGTCACAAATACTGCTTACTAAAAGGAAAGGAAAGTTTGGGTTTTTTTTTTTTTATTTTATGCCATTTTATTTCATTTCGTTTTAAATAACACTGTCACATCTTTTAAAATTCCATTACTTATGAGGCAGATTTGAAAGGCAAAATAGAGAAACAGATCAATTTTTTCTTAAAATTGCTTTAAGGTAAATTATTTTACAAAAATGGAAGTATATATGCTCTAATTTGGGGAAACTGTGTGTGAACAAGATATTTGGCTAGATTTTTCATTTCACATTAATCATGTGGACATAATTTGCATGTTGTTTTACAACACCTAACAATTCTGCATATTAATCTAATCAAGGAGGCTAATTTTTAAACACAACATTTTTGAACTCAGAATTTGTAAGTGGGTGTAATATGCCTGTAATATTACAACCCCCAATTGTAATATGCAACCCCCAATCTTCTGCCCTACATATAAGTCATAAGCAGTGAACAGAAGGAAAACATTCCAATATTCATAGCAACAATTCTTTTCAAATGCAGCAGTGTCTGGAGTCCAAAGGTTCATACATTTCCCTCTCTGTGGTGGCTTTACAGACATGAGTGTTGAAAGCAGATGCCTTCAGTTTCTCTCAGGGAGATCCCTGAACTACTGAAAATGACAAATCTCGGCAATCACCTTCAGGCTCCCATATTCTTCTACATTGAAAAGAAATGGGTAAAATCTTTAATAAGAAAAGCAACAAATAACTAAGTTTATCCATCATCTTCTCTGAAGTACTGCTAATGAAACAGAAATGAAGCCATATCCATCTGCAAAGGAACTTTTTCCCAGTAGACAATGATTCTGTACTTCAGTGGAGTCCTCCTGGTGAGGGCAAATTGATTTTCTAGAACATTCTTGGTTATTCCAGGGAGAGAATAAAGTCGCAGCCTGACACGTTAACCTCCCACTACATTTCTAAGACAGGATCTATACACCTGGAACAGAGAAATAATTAGGGCAACTTCAGGTCACTTCAAGAGAAAGTCTATTTAGGTCTGAATGACCCCAACAATTGGATTATTTACTACCTTTGCCTCACCAATTATTTCACCATGGCTCTGTGAATGCATGGTTGTAGCACAATCTTTGTCTCCGTGAAAGTCAGAGGAGTAGTTCCTGAAAAGCAATAACTGCACACAACTAACATGTACACTGATAACCAGCATGGCGTCTCTCCAAAGTCAGATTATACTTCTCTACCTTTTGCACTCAGGGAAAACAAATAAATTTCTCCAGCACCCTGAAAAGTATCAATCTATTTGTTTCCAACGCATGTTTTTGATGGGTTTTTATAACAAATTTTAAAATTAGAAAGGCTCAAATACACTGATCTTAGAACTTCTTTTAAGCTACTGACATTTCCTTTCTCACATAATAAATGATGAAAGCCAGTCAACAGTTAAAGGGTGTTTCCGTTTCTTTGATGTGGTCTTCTGTATTAGAAAACCTCACTGAAATTCATTCCTATGAAGTTCTACATCAGGATGTATAAGTCATCCATACAAACGCACACATTCATTCACATATATGCTAATTTGGAAAGAGGGAGAAAAGGAGAATTTTATTTGGGAAAAAAAAAAGCAGCACAGCAAACCTATCTTTGAATTACTTCTACCATTTTGTTTTTCTATTAGTATACTGGAATGTCTATCCTAGGGCAATATGGATAGCTAATCTCATATTCATTCCTGAAAGTTCTAATTAATAATCTAGGAACTAATTCTGAGGTAAGAGAGCCTACCATTTGGTGTTCCGTGTCATTTAGGGTCATTTGCAATTGAATGCTGCAGGAGATGACTTGCAGTGCTGACTTGTAAGTATTGCTCAAGTTATCTTATGTCAAACTACATACTCTGGAAGGACTCTGAGAAACTGAAAGAGAGAAATAAAAGAGTTTTAACACAAAGGACTTTATATGAAACAAGGAATGAAATCCTTTATTAGTCTCTAAATAAAGAATTGTAAGACAGATGAGGAGAGTGTCCATCCTTAATCTGTTTGATGACGGGAAGAAAAGTAAAGACTGCTATAGAGAAGAAAAATACCATCAACAATGAGTGATCAGTTCCCAAAGACCTGTGAAGGTCAGAGTAACAGTAAGAGGGGCCACAGCAGCAGGGATGGACACTACCAGGTGATGACCAAGAATTTAAGCTTCCAAACAAAATATATAGGCCACCCTAAAAAATTAAAGTGGTGTTTCTTTATCCTCTACCATGCATTTGAAAGTCATCTGCTTCTACTTCTTGAAAGTCCACACTTTTCAACCCAGGTTAAGAGCTTCTGTCACTTCTCCATGGGCCCCTGCTCCCTCCATACAACAACCTCCAAGCCTTACCATTGTGAGCAATTATGATAGGTGTATTTTTCTGGAGGTGTATTATATCACAATGAAATAAAGACACAGCCACAAATTAACAGACAAATATGAAATACGTCAAACCACACCTAGCCAGTTCTGTTTCTGAGAAAGATGGTGAGTTGTTCAGTGTATTCTTTGCAGCCTGAATTTTTTAACAAGAGAAGATGCATCTTCCTCAGAGCTAAACCCCAGCCTCCTTCCCAGAGTTTCCTTCCTCCCTGGTCTTATTACACTACTGAACACTACCATCTTACATGGAGCTGTTACCCATTTTTCCTTCTGTTCTGCAATCTATAATTTTCATATCACAAGTTGGCATATGAAATTTAATAATATTCTTAGATTTATTTAATTCTAATATTCAGTTTCATGTTGTGATTTCGGAAAAACATAACTTACTGGAACCAAGTTATTACTCTTAACCATGAATGTTTCAAATACCTTTCAAAGGATAAATTATCTTCTACTTTTTCCAGTTTAAGCAACTCCACCCACACGGATGCACACAAAATCTTGTAAAAGTTGACAAAAGGCCAACTTGAAGTGCGCTTATGAATGGCAATCTAAAGCTTGATGAAAGTAAATTAGAAATCCAATGATCAGAAAAATCCAGTTGGGATAACTCAATTCACAACCATGACCTTTAAATAATTTCTTAAAAATAAAAATCTCAGCCGGGCGCGGTGGCTCACGCCTGTAATCCCAGCACTTTGAGAGGCCCAGGCGGGCGGATCACGAGGTCAGGAAATCGAGACCATCCTGGTTAACACGATGAAACCCCGTCTCTACTGAAAATGCAAAACAGAATTACCCGGGCATGGCGGTGGGCGCCTGTGGTCCCAGCTACTCCGGAGGCTGAGGCAGGAGAATGGCGTGAACCCGGGGGGCGGAGCTTGCAGTGAGCGGAGATAGCACCACTGCACTCCAGCCTGGGCGACAGAGCGAGACCCCGTTTCAAAAAATTAAAAAATAATAAAAAATAAATAAATACAAATCTCATTCTATACTTCCAATCAATGTCGCTCAAGCAAATGCCTCATTGTACATAAAGGATTAAATTCCTCTATGTATCTTAGATGTCTGTAGCTTTTGAATGAGAAGACAATTTCTTGGCAGAAAATAGATAAAGTTCCATATGGCTCCTGTCTATTTCTTTCAAAAATTCTGTTGCAATTAGGATCCCTTCTCATAATAAAAACATGATGAGACTGACAGTTTTCTGAAATCACAGCTAGTATATTAGGAAAATTTGCTCTTGGTTTTCAATAACTACAGAGCATAACAGAGGAACAAATTGTTGATCAAAGAGGGCCTGAAATGTTAACCACCTTCTTAAGGAATTGTATTTACCTGAAATTCAGTTCAACTTTAGGAAGTCTCATATACAATGGAAACTCATTATAAGTTTCTCCATTTTTATAAATTACTTCCGGCTAAAATGTGCTTTAATTTTTTCTTTAAAACAAGATAAATGGAAATTCGAAAAGTAGAAAGTAGATTGGAAGATACATCGATCTTGAGAAGGTGAAGGAGTCAAATATCACATTTAAAACTCTTATTTTCCAAGGTGGCCAAATATA